GGGCGGGAAAGCCCCACTCTTTCATCTGCTTCCTAGTTTAGAGGCTCCAAGAGCATCTTTACTTTTCACAGCCAGATCAACATAGAAATATTTACAATCAGCTGCTTCCAGCCAAGAAAAACCTGCTACAAGCTCTGAAAGGAAGGGGCATATGCTCTTCCCACCATCACCATGAGTGCTTGTGTGTGTGTGTGTGTGTGTGTGTGTGTGTGTGTGTGTGTGTGTGTGTGTTCTAAACTCTGTTCTACCCCCGAAGAGGTGGACTCAGTTTTCTCTCACACCACTGGCTTGGGACTGTTCTAATCATATTTCTGTTAAGAATGTTAGCAAAATATGAATGCATTTATCCTGTTTTATAATCCCGATCTTCCAAAATGTCCAGTGCTCTGCCTGCATCTTTGCTCAATTCTCAGTTTTATTTCCTAATCATGCTGGAAGCAAGGACCGTGTTTTCAGGGGGAAGACGGTCACTTGGAACAAATGTCATCTCACCTGCCCCTCACTAGCATAAAAACTTCTACGGCCCCTCAGGGTCTCAGATGCATGTTTCTTTGAGAAGAGAAGAGGGTGGTGTTTGGCTAGAATTGGAAAGAATTTCTTTGAAAACCTTTCTGTTTTCTTTTTCTCCCAGTTGAACTTGAATCTGAGCCTTGGTAAGTCCCAGGATCTCAGAGCTGGAAGGCTCATGGGAGATTACATCCTGGTCCCAAACCCCCAGCCTCGCAGGAGGAGGTGGCAGAAAAACTGTGGGATCCTACGAATTCAGGATGGTTTGGTAGAGCCTAATTCTTATTCAGTTGGTATTTGGGAAAGCAGGAATTTTGACAAAGCACCTGAGCTGCGCACAGCTGGGACGTGCCTCCTGGGCCAGAAGGAAGTGCCTCAGAAGCCCTTTGCCAAAGGACGTCATGCTGGTTCAATAACTGTAGGAATATCAGTGAGAAAGTGACAAGCATAAGGTTTAGCATGGAATCTGAGTCTCTCATGTCAGCTAGACAAGGGTGCACAGTGCTGCTTTAAAAATGCTGCCCGGAGGCCCAATAGGATGTGAGACTGGCTGCTGCTGGTTGCCCACATGATCCAGGCTGTTGAACTCAGCCTTTAAAATGCCTTTGAATTCCTCCTCCTTTTCAAAGAAGTAGATGCTTCTCCATTTTGGAGGACCTGCAGCGTGGGTCCCACTGAGCGGGAGAGAATATGCTTTACCTGCTCTCCAAAGAATGAGCCACAGCCTCCACTGTCAAAACTGGCCAAATTTGAGTTCCTGGGGGCAAGGAGGTGACCGGGTGGAAGCTGAGGGTCTGGCCTCAAACCACCTGCCCCAGGACTTGACCTTGGAGGGTTTTCAGCGGCCCCTTCTCTTGTCCATCTTGTGAATATGCCCAGAGGCTCAGGGCTGTTGGCTGCTGAGCCGGGACTCATATGTCTTAAAGTCTCCAAACCATTTTTTATGGGGACACATCCAAATTCCTGCTCAACATTCCCTCTACGCTCATTGATCTTCTTTTTAATGAGACCTTCTTTTCCCAAGAGATGACAACTTGGCAACACCCAGGGCTGCCTCTTCTCTGATTCAAATCTTGGAAACTTTCATCCATAACCCTGCAAAGCCCCAGGGCAGATCTTTTAGGCTCGCCACACTCAATGTACAGTCATCCCTCAGCATCCTTTGGGGAATGGTACCAAGAGCCCCACAGATACCAAAATCCATGGATGCTCAAGACGCTTATATAAATGGAGTAGCAGTAATTAGGTGGGTGGACTGCTAAACTGTCAGATTTGAACGAAGTCCGTTACTCCTCCTGTAAGAGCTCAGAATGGGGCCGGTACCCACCAGAACCAAGTGTCCAGCCCTCCCCCAGTCTGTTACCTCAGGGCAGAGTGTGAACGAAAAGCAGAAACAGAGCAAAGTGGGAAAGGATGGGCAATTAAGAACCCGTTGCACTTGCTAGGAGGGTGATGGCCAAATGGGGCCGCTTTGGACACCCTGTAAATCATTTAATACCCTTCATCACAGCAAACAATCTAGAACGGGCCTGGGCAATGCAGTTTTGTGCATAGTTTTACTTTAAACAGAAGATTCAATATATGTTGGCACTGCTTTCCTGTTTGAGTATTCAAAAATGTTTAAGTGCTTCATTTTTATTCCGGAGATAAACCTGGCTTAATATCCTGTTTAAAAAAAAATACTCTGTTACCTTGTTTAATTTGATTGCTGAAAAAGTTCTGCTTTGGTACAAGCTTGTTTTCATACTTGGGGAACCCCGTTTAAGAAGACACATTATTGTCAGAGATAATTTGTTAAAGTTGCAGGTTATTCATTTTTATGCACTATAACCATGATTATCTTGAACCTACAATTTAGGCTCTTGCTTTTTTTCTCTTAACATTGTGTCCTAAGTATTGTCTGTAGCGCTACATAATCACAATAATTTCCATGGTTGCATCATAATCCATTGAATGGAAATATCCCAGTTCTTTATCTTTACATTTTCCCATAATTATAAATAACTTTGAGCAGAATATCTTCTAGATTTCTCTATAGTTTTGTATTATTTCCTGAAGATGGACTCTCAGAGATGTTGTGTAAAGAGGATGAATGTGCTGTAGGCCAGACCTTCTCAGACTTTGGGGCACACACAGCTCGCTTGTGGATCTGGTGAAATACGGATTCTAACTCAGTAGGTCTGGGGTGGGTCTGACATTCTGTATTTGTGACAAACTCACTGATGGCGAGGCCGCTGCTCAGGTTTCAGACAGTCTCTTAAAGTCCTCGGTGTTATGGCATTAGACCCATTCTACCAAATCTACCAAATCACTGTGCGGTCTGGTTACCTAGGAGCTCTGCCCCTCAGGCCTCAGCAGTATTTTCTCACCAAGAGAAAAGTTTTAAATAGGCTGGTGTCTAGAGAAGGTGGGAGCTGTAGCCCCTGCCTTCAACAAAAGCGTCTAAACTCACTCCTGGTTGCCATTAGACTCACCTGGGGAGGACTTCCCTGGTGGCGCAGTGGTTAAGAATCTGCCTGCTAATGCAGGGGACACGGATTCGAGCCCTGGTGCGGGAAGATCCCACATGCCGTGGAGCAGCTAAACCCGTGCGCCACAGCTACTGAGCCTATGCTCTAGAGCCCGCGAGCCACAACTACTGAGCCCACGTGCCACAGCTACTGAAGCCCGTGCGCCTAGAGCCCGTGCTCCACAACAAGAGAAGCCACCACAATGAGAAGCCTGCGCACTGCAGTGAAGAGTAGCCCCCGCTCACCGCAACTAGAGAAAGCCGCGTGCAGCAACAAAGACCCAACACAGCCAAAAAAAATAAATTCAATAAATAAATAAATAATTTAAAAAAAATAGAATCACCTGGGGAGTCCACACACACACACACACACACACACACACACACACACACGCGCGCACACCACTAAGGTCCACTCCAGACCAGAGCAAACAGAATGTCTGACAATGATACCTGGCTACCAGTAGTTTTGAAAGCTTCCCAGTTTTTAAAGGTGACTCCGTGTGTAGCCGGGGTTGAGGACCGTTGTTCTAAGCCCACAGAAAACCCACCTTACTCACTGAATTCAACTGTGGTTTAAACCTGACTGGATGGAAAGCTTGGGGTTCACATACGACCCCCAACTCCACACTTTTGACAATGGATTCAGCACAGCTATGAGTTGTCTTTGCAATTCTAAAAATTAATGACCATAATTTGTAAGAGAAAATAAGGAATTTGTCATCATTGGTTTCTCTGTCAAACTCACTTCTCCACAGCACTTGCTGTTCCAGCTTTACTGAGTGCCACCAAGCCAAAAATTCCTTACTTCCCCTCTCCCTTCAAAGCTATGCTGTCACCACAGTCATTTGTTTTGCATGCACCCTTTTTTCTTGTAGAAATCGACACATTGTATTAAAACTCTCCATTAGCGTGGCCATCACCTTCATTCAGACCGTGAGCCCCTTGAGACCAGATATAGACTCTGAGGCGTCTTTTTATTCCCCCCCACCTTGATCAGTGCCTGTCTAGCACACAGTAGACACCCATTAAGTCATTGTTTAATGAATGAATGAATGAAATAGAATAGATTTTGATCACATGCAAGGCTGGAAGGTCATTCTCATTGTTGACCTATTCTCATTCTCATACCAGCGTGGTTCTAGCAAGAGCACAGATTGCCTAGATGGTGCCTGGCGCCAACATGGCCTTGGCCCTGGTAGTGTGCAAGATGGCAGACAGAATGCTGAGGGCGCCCTGTGTCCCCGCTGCTTCCCATCTGCTAGAGTAACACCTGCCGTTTCTCTTCGGCAGTTGCCTTCTCGGGACTTGGCTTCACGACGTTTTACTTGGCGGGCAAGCTGCACTGTTTCACCGAGAGTGGGCGGGGCAAGAGCTGGCGGCTCTGTGCCGCCATCCTGCCCCTGTACTGTGCCATGATGATCGCCCTGTCCCGCATGTGCGACTACAAACATCACTGGCAAGGTGAGTTCCTGCCTGGGGCCCGCCCAGTCCTTGGGCCGTCTGCCTCTCTCCTGCAGGGAAGCGGGGAGACATACACCTACTGGGGAGAGGTAAGTGCCCACTGTGAGAAACCAGAGTAGGCTGAAATGACAGAGCAGACACGGTTTTAAAGAAAATGCGCCTGTTCAGGTGAGTGTTGGCCTTCATACTGTCCTTGCTGGGGACAGAATCGGAGTTCCTCCTCCTCCTTCATGCTCCAGTAGACCCCTCAGGTCCTGCTAGGATGGCAGGCACTCAGTCACAGACTCAGATGGACTTCCCTGCTGGACCCCTTGCCTCCATCTCAGACTTGATGCCAAGTGGTTGTTGGCTCCTTTCACATCTCAGATCCATCCCACAAGGACATATCTGTCACCATGTCCAGCCCAGGGATGGATGCCAGCAGCCACTGCAAGGCTGAGTGAGGCTTACCTGTATGTATCAGTCCTGGGGTATCTGTGCAAAGTCAAAATAACACAGAACAAGTGAGGGGCTTGTTCCTGGAATAAAACTAAACCATGCCACGCCCCTCTGCAGATCGGCTGCAGCTCTCAGCTTGACTGGACCACAGTAGCATCTGCCACTGCAAGAAAGGGAGCAGAGGCAGAGGCGATGTCCACAGGATGTGTGGCCTCTGGGAGCGCAGGGTCTAGGGCTGTGTTTCCCAAAGGCCGATCGTCAGATCACTTGGACCAGGCCGCTCTGAGCTAGGAGCTGGATTCTTGGGGGTGGGTCTGGAGTGGCGGTCAGGAATCTTCATTGTTAACAAGCCAGTTTGTTAATTCTGATGACATCTGAGAATTACCATGGAGAGCTCCACTGTGTCAGCTTTCAGCAAACGCACTGAATTAAATGCGCCTAATCCAGCTTCCCTGGACGAGTGGCCTCTTCCACGATTGGTCTGTGGCCTCCACCTGCTCTTCCTTTCCTGTCTTCCTACTGTCAGCAGGTGCCATCCCCCTCCTCCCCCTTTTCTGACCGCCGTCTTCTCACCTCTTCCCAGGTGTTCCAGTAGTAGTGAGGCGGCAGTTGAGGCTAGAGGTGAGGGGAACTCCTAGTTGGAGGTGCCTTTGCCCCACCTTCTCCGGCGGCCTTCTGCTCCTTCTCTGGCCTCAGCTTCACCCTCCACCCTCCTGGAACTCACGCTCTGGGTGTCATGAGCCTCCAGCTTCAGCCTGGCCGGTGAAGGGGGAAAGGGAGACTGATGCGTGGTCTGGACAGGTGGAGGCATCAAGCACCGATGGGGGTCTTGAGGCCATGCTGGTGGGGGCAGTCAGTCGAGGCCCATCAGGCTGGACCCGGAGCCCTCCCTTGTTCTCTGCTTTTATCAGTGACTTGGATGAAGTTCTGGATATATGAGACCACGTAATGAGAGAGGGGCAGGGAGAGGATCGCTGAGCCAGCAGCACAAGGACATAACCATTGCACCCTTGGAACTAGGAATATTTTCCAGCAGAATCACTGTGGCGCGTATGATTAGGGCACTTCCCCATGAGAACTGTTATGGGCTAGATGGCATTTCACGGACTGCTTCTCATTTATCCTTGTAAACTGTAGTTTGTTCTTCTGAACATGGGAACAATAATCCCCCAATATTTCCCAGTGCCGTTTCACAGGCAGAATGAAATAATGGATCTGAGCGTACTTTGTAAATGAAAATGTATTGCACAAATGTGAATCGGTATTGTCGTTGCTTAGTGCATCATTTCTAAAGAAGGATGTGTGTGTTTCCCAAACCACTGAGTTCAAGGTGGACATGCTTTTGGAACATGGTCTGTTTGTAAGCCATGAATCCCTGGTTTCCACTTTTTTTCAGCCACTTAGGACCTGACAAATGATTAAGGGTTTTAGAGTTGAGGTTTTGGCTTCATCTTGGAAGGTAGTAAGAGCTTTTGGGTAGTGATCTTGTCTTGAAAACCTAAGACGTGAGGTTGGCCTCTATTAAATGCTCTTTTGTTACTCATTACCGAGCTGCGGCTGGTGTGTCATGAAAGGATGAAGGATCACAGCTCTTGGCTTTGGGGAAATGCTGGACTTCTGATGCAGCTGGTGCACTCGAGGCCTGCTGACAACAGGGCTTCACACCCATTCTATCCAACTGGCACAGAAAGGAACTTGGAGCAGTAGAGGGAGAATATTAATGCTCTGTGGGCTGATGGGAAAGCAAAGCAAGAGAATCTATGATCAGTGATGTTTAGGGCCGTACTTGGGATGGGGCGGGGGAACCAAAATTGCATCATGGTAGACTCCTGCAGCCAAAACTGAATGTGCCTCAGTTGGTACAGGTCATGGGTGTGGCCCAACTATCCATTCAAGCTGTGCCATCGTCTGTTCAATTTGTACCCTGGAGTCAGCCAGGAGTGGAGTGTGCCTTTCCTTGGATCCTCTAATGGGCTCTGAGTCAGGCTTATTTCACCTGAATTCCCCTTTATGATGCCATCTGTCACTGTCTATACCAGTGGTCTCAATGCGGGCAACTGAACCTCCCAGGGGACATTTAGTAATGACTGGAGACATCTTCACAAGTAGAGGTGGTGTTTGTGGTGGGTGCTACTGGCATCTAGTAGGTAGAGGCCAGGGATGCTATTAAACATCCTACAGTGCACAAGATAGCACCTTCCCCACAGCCCCGAATGTCTGTTGCTGAGGTTGAGAAAGCCTGACCTGTAGCCACATCTCAGCTCCATCTTTCTTTCCCTTATTACGTGTTAAGAAGACGCAGTGTTCAGTGAGTGGAAAATTGTATTCATTCAACACTCACTTATTAAGGGAGAAATCAAAGAGGCTGCCAAGGTTTCCAGCTTGGAGAAGGGATGGATAGTGAGGCCTTTGACTGCTGTGAAGGTGGGTGTTTGAGGCAGGATGCCCGACCGAGATTAATAAGTTGTTGCTCTTTGGTGGACTGAGGTGTCCAGTGACGGTGGGCGGGGGTCATCTGTCATGATGAGAATTCACGGGGAGACCCGTAGGCAGCAGCACAACCTGAGAACCTCTCGTTATAGACTTTAGTTAACAACATTAATATTATGAGACTTTTATGACTCCATTCCAATTTTGATTTAAGCAACTGTGCCTGATGTGGAAGGATATCCAATTACTCGATTACATATTCATATACAGTAAATAGCCCATAATCTCGAACGCTTTGCTCTGTTCATTATCATAGTGGTTTTCTGTTATCGACGCCCTTCTGGTCTTTTCTGCCTTTCCAGCTCCACTCCAAACACGCAAGTCTGTTGTTTCATTAAGTGAGGAAAATGGAGGGCACAGGCCATGGTCTGGAGGGGCAGCGAAACACTTAGCAGGACCTCTTCAGAAATAAAAGTACTGGCTGGATAATAAATCTTTATCTGGCTAAGGTTCTCCACGTCTTTGTGACATGCTGGCTTTCGGGTCAGCCAGAAGCTAGAGAGTCCATGGGTGATGCTGACCACAGGGCCAGTGCTTCACAAAGAAGCTCACCTTTGTGATTAACTGTGTGTTTTCAGAGTTAAAACTTGTGGAATTTCCATGCTGGGAAGAACATCTGTAGAGAAAAATGCACAGAAAGAACAGAGCACCTCATTGAACCCTCTTCTGCCCCAACTCACAGTCTTGTGTGAGTGTGGTTTCCAGTCAGTGGACAGTTATAGATAGAAGTGGCAGGAGTGTGTTGTTTTTCTCCATTAATGGACATAATGAGGAGCTGCCTCTGCCCTCAAATCCCTGGATCTGGGTCCAGGCTTTCCTTGTGTGACTCCAGCTTTCGGGTAGCCTTCTAACCAACACTGATTCTCTAATCATAGGTCATTTTAAGCAGCCCTGAGTGCCTGTGTAGTGTTTCGTCATAAGAAAGAGCACCTCCCTCTGAATATAATCCAGAAAACCATGTCTCAAGGGAGGAAGCAGTCATTTGTTTCCACCCAGCCTGAGGCTGGAACGCATCCATGTCAGTCACAGATGCCGTGCTTGACTGGGCTGAACATTTCAAGATGGTGCCATTGCCTTTGCCAGGTTTCTCTGACTGGGCTGTGAAGGGTCTGTGATGTGAAATGAATTTATGTGTAGTTTCCAGTCTCTGAGCCACAGTAAAAAGCCAGGTAGAGGCTGCTCCCTCCTCTCCCCCCACATTCACACACACACACACACACACACACACACACACACACACACACACACACACACACACGCACACACACACACACACACACAGAGTTGAGAGACACACACTGTTCACCAGGCCTCCCTCCCTTGGGCTGTCAGAAGCAATCTCTAAATTTTCTAAATGAAGTGACTTGAAAAGGAGACTTTGGAATGAAACCATTGTTCCCACCAAAACCCACCAGCCTTACATAGAACAAGGACACTGAGATTCTCCCTCCGAGATCCTCCATCCTGAGTGAACTGATCTCCCCTCATCTTCCCTCTGCCGTCAGCTGTCCCGAGTGGTGGGGTCTGCATTCACATTTGTCTTCAGCTGCCAAATGCTGCTTGGGGTCTGGGGACCTCTGAGCCTTGACTGCCCATGAGTCTGCCCATCTCTGCCTTCATACCCAGGGCATCCCCGAGGGAGGGCTCAAGCGGTCTGCAGCCCCAGGCCGCCCCCTCCCTTTTAATCAGAACCCACTGGACAGGGAGCTTTGGGCCTCAAGAGAGGCTTTCTCAGCCAGGCCCTCTGCCCTCTGCCCTCTGCCCTGGCGTCCCTCATTTCTTAGTTCCCAGGGAAGATAGGTTTTGGCTTCTCCCAAGTCTCGTTGACCACCTGGCTTCATTTATTCCAGGGAATGCTCCCCTCTGTTTTCTGTGATTCTCTCTGGTTTCTTCTCTTGGCTGTATGTTCAGAATAGTTCCAGAATCCAACTTCCTTTTCCCACTGTAGTCCACCCTCACCTGTTGCCTGGATTATTGCTGAAGCCCTGCTACCATTCTCCCTCCTTCCTCCTTTGCCCCTCACACTGCAACCAGAATGAGCCTTTAAAGCCCTGTCACATGTGGTGCCTCAC